GGCGCGCCCCCCGCAGCCGCTCCTGCAGAATCCCGTCACGAGTTCCCGGCCTGTCAGGTGAGAGTCCTGCAGCAAGGCTGGCGAGGGAAAGGGCGCTGCGGGTCTAAGCATCCAGGAGTCAAGGAGAGCTGTAGAAGCTGAGTAGCTATGTGAGACATATTAATAAAATAACACGTTTACAGCTCTTTTAACTGCTATCGCAGTTTCTGTCGGGGGACCGCGGGCCTAGATTTCCTTGACAGGTGAGAAATAAAATTCTACTGAGCAAAGAATAGGAGGGGGGGAAAAAAGTAGGAGCGTGAAAAAGAGCCTGTCAGGTTAGAAAGGACAACGTGAGGGTCTTCAGGCTAGAAAGACAAATAGGCAGGATGGCAGCAGCTGCCCTGTGCTCCTTTGAGGTTGGCTGCAGTGGCCGTCCCAGTCGTGGCCCTTCTCTGCCAGGGCAAGGATGCGCTGTACGCGGCGAGGGGCGTGTGGGGGGTGTGCTCCGATGTCACCATCCCCAGACCGTTTCTTGTCTTCAAGACTTGGGGTTCTCTTCCCCCTCATTTTGTACTAGCGGAGAGATCTGAAAGGGTTAATGAAATTCTTCTCTATAAATACATGTAAAAGATGATGATCCCTCCAAGCATCCTAGGCTCCGGTCCTTACGGGGCCTGAGCCCTATTGATCGTGTGCTTTGTGCCAGGATCTGCTCGGAGCTGACTAAATCCCTGGGCTAACACCTCTCAGGAATATCTGCTGATTAGGACTGTTTGGTGGTACCTGCTTTAAAGCTTTCTTCAGTGGCGAGCATCCCTGCGCGTGCTCACCTACGCTGAAGATACCAAAGCATTTCAAGCTGAGCCCCAAGACCATGTCTGAGGATGAGGATGTCTCCAGGCTGGTCCTGGATGGCACTGAACCTGCTCTGTGGCAGACGTGTCCCAGCCTCACCTGCTGTTTAACAGCTCCGAGATTGCTCCGAAGCCCTGGCTGGGAGTGACTTTGTTTAAAATAGTGTTGTTGGTCTCCTGCAGGTTTCTCTGTGAGTCCTTAGACGAGTTGCTTGGGGGGTGTCTGAGGTGACAGGATGGGAACGCCTGCGGGGACGGCAGGAGCCTGGGCGCTGCAGCTCGGTGCTGGTGGCGGGTCCGCTTGGTCACCCCTCCAGCCTCCATGGGTCCCCTGGAGCTTTGGGGAAAGTGGGGGTGCGCTGGGCAGAAGCTGTGTGGCTGCACTCGCAGCACGCTTTGACAGAGGGTGAGGCGATGCTTTGCCGGTGGGGAAGAAGTCTGGATTTCCCGTGTTTGTCCATATTTGCTGCAGTTTAAGTGTATGCAGACAATGGAAATGTGGTTCCCTGGCGTTTCTTTGTCATCTGTGTAGATCTCGTCTAGCTGGTCTGGGACCTGTATCTAATACTAGGCATAATGCCTTGCATTATGGTTATTAAAGCATTATGCTGCTATTGCCAGAGAAGGTGGTGGTGTAGGAATTGACTAATAATCCAATTTATGTTTGTGAGTTTACAGGAATTGACTAAGATCAAATGTACATTTTACTGGGTATAATGCAAATATTTAGCAAGGAAGGTTTTTGCCATGGTTCCAGTGTAGCTGAAGCAGGCAAGATGGGCAGAAGATAGAGGCCTTGTTCTCGGGCTGTGCAGAGCCCCGTGCAGTGGAGGTCCTCTACAGCAGGGATTTTCAAAACTGCGGAAATCTAGGATGACAGTCTAATGGTCACCATAGAACGTTTCTTTTGTGCTACTGAGTTGGAAAACCTGAGGAAGCGAAGTGAAGGGGACACTGTAAGCATCAGCCTGTCTGCGGAGCAGGTGAGCAGCTGGGGACGGCCTGTGTCCCCAGCGCGGTGCTTGGCACTCCATGGTGCCCTGTTCCATCGCTGGAACTGGTTGGAAACCTCTGCTCCTGCCACATGAATTAGTTCCATGAGATAAAACTAACATTTGTCTGACTATGACGGACTGTCTGGCGTGTTTTGAAGGTTCATTAAATGTTTCTAATTTTCAGATGGGAAATTTACTTTGAAATGTACATGACTTCTTTAATAACGAGGCTTTTCAGATCTTTGTAGCTGTGTTGCATTTTGCAGTTGTACGTGGTAGATGATGAGAACCCAAAATGGTAGGAGGGGCTGGGATTTTAGTTGGGAAAGGTGTTCCTGTTGCTGCTGTGTCATGGTGTGGTGTTTTTCAGATCCAAAAATACTACAGTGTGTGAAAGGGCAGAATCTTTTTGGGTTGTTCTTAGCCTTATATTAGGTTCTAGTGCAGCAATTTAACCCTCCTCCCCCTTGCCCTCCATAACCTTGTTTCACGTAATCTCCTTTGCTTGACCTCAGCTGAGGCAGAATGTTACCTGGCACAGCACCTCGTAGTGTCGCGCTGAGAAGTTACATGTT